ACCCTAGCATCTTCCCTGCCGTAACACCAAAAGTACACTTCTGGGGATTCAACCGCAGCCGAAACTCTCTGATCCTTTGAAAAAACTTTTGTAAGGTGGTGTAGTGGCCCTCTCTTTCCTTAGACTTGACAATTATGTCATCCACATACACCTCGACCTCTTTATGGATAATATCATGCAAGATCGTGGTTGCTGCTCGTCGATAAGTAGCTCCAGCGTTCTTCGACCCGCTTGATGTTCTTGTTGGCGGCCTCAACTGCTCCATTGGTTTGCGGCCTGTATGTGGATGACTTATGAAAAGCCACGTTATATTTCTCCAACAAGTCAATCACTTCCTTCTTAAAGTGGGATCCATTATCCGAAATAATCTCGTTTGGCACCCCGTAGCGGCAGATGATGTTGTTTCTAATGAACTTTGCAACGTGCGACGCCTTCAACACCGCATATGATTGGGCCTCGACCCACTTTGTGAAATAATCTATCGCTACCAGGATAAACTCATGTCCATTTTCGGAGTGACAGCCCCGATCACATCGATTCCCCAAACTGAAAATGGCTATGGTGAAGTCATGTTGTACAGCTTTAACGGCGGGATGTTCATGCGGTTTGCATGGATCTGGCATTTGTGGCATCGCCGAACAAAACCGATACAATCCTCTTCCATTGTAGACCAGTAATAGCCCTGTCTGAGGATCTTCCTGGCCAACATCACTCCATTCATGTGCGCACCGCACTCTCCTCCATGGATAGCCTCCATCAGGCGCTTCGATTCTTCGGCTTCTACACAGAGCTTATGCATTCCCAGATGGCCCCTCTTGTACAGCTTACCCCCGCAGATGGCGAACTGAACAGCCATTCTTCTGATTGCCCTTTTATCCTTGGCATTTGCCCCTGGTGGATACGCCTCTTTTTCCAGGAAGTTCCAAATGTCGTAGTACCAGGGGTGGTCGTCCTGAGCCTCATCTATGGCGGAAATTGACTCGTATGCTGGCGCAAACTTCTGATCAATAATGACTGGACGCATCCGGACTCCGGACGAGATGTCTATCATGGAAGATAGAGTTGCTAGTGAATCTGCGAACCTATTGTTCTCTCTTATTAGGTGGGTGAAACTTAGCTTCTCAAACCGATGAATTAACAAATCCAAGGTTTGGTGGTAAATTATCATCCTTTCCTCTTTGACTTTCTAGTCTCCTTTTGCTTGAGACACGACAAGGTTCGAGTCACCAATAACGTCCAACCGCCTTGCCCCTAGTTCTAGGGCTGCTTCCAGGCCAGCGATACATGCCTCATATTCTGCTTCATTGTTCGAGACTTTGAACCGGAGCTTGAATGCCAAGGGGATACGGGAATCGTCAGGCGCTATCAGCAACACTCCTACCCCATACCCATACTGGTTTGACGCTCCGTCGAAGTACATCGTCCAAGTTTCATCTTCGACGTGCAGAATGGCTTCATCTGGGAACAGGTACTCAACCGTTTCATCCCCCTCAACCGGGTGGTCGGCAAGGAACTCCTCTACTGCTCTTCCTTTTACTGACTTGCGTGTTACATACTTTAGATCAAATTCGGAAAGCAACAGCAGCCAACGAGCTAGCCTACCCGTAAGTGCCGGTTTCTCAAAAAGATATTTGATGGGATCCAAGCGTGAAACCAACATTACAGAGTGAGCTAACAGGTAGTGCCTCAGCTTCCTGGTAGCCCATACCAAGGCCAAGCAAGCCTTCTCCAGCGGAGTGTAGCGGGTCTCGTAATCCAGCATCTTCTTGCTTAGATAGTAGATGGCCCTTTCTACCTTGTCCTCTGACTCTTGTGCGAGCATGCAGCCCGTGGTAGTCTCAGTTACTGACAGGTACAATATCAACGGTCTCCTTGGTTCCGGTGGTGACAACACGGGCGGGTTCTGCAAATATTCTTTGATTTGCTCAAAAGCTGCTTGGCATCGGCCGTCCCATTGGAATTTCTTTCCTTTCTTCAGGAGGCCAAACAGTGGTTCACAAGTCAAGGTTAATTTGGAAATAAACCGTCTTATGAATTGCACTTTACCTAGAAAGCCTCGCACCTCCTTTTCAGTCCTTGGTGGTGGCATTTCTAAGATGGCCTTGATTTTGGAAGGGTCGACTTCGATGCCCCTTTGTGTAATCAGAAACCCTAACATTTTTCCCGCTGTAACACCGAATGTACACTTCTGAGGATTTAGCCGCAGCCGAAACTCTCTGATCCTTTGGAAGAATTTTTGTAAGGCGGTGTAGTGGCCTTCTCTATCTTTGGACTTGACAATCATGTCATCCACATACACCTCAACCTCCTTGTGGATCATATCATGCAGTATCGTGGTTGCTGCCCGTTGATATGTGGCTCCTGCATTCTTCAATCCAAATGGCATCACCCTGTAACAGTATGTCCCCCACGGAGTGGTGAAAGCAGTCTTCTCCCGGTCTTCGGGTGCCATCACTATCTGGTTGTAGCCTGAGAAACCATCCATGAACGAAAGCAAAGCATGCCCCGCTGTGAAATCTACCAACTCATCAATGTGCGGCAGGGGGAAGTCGTCCTTCGGACTAGCTCTATTCAAATCCCTGAAATCCACACATACTCGGATCTTACCATCCTTCTTCGGCACTGGAACAATGTTGGCCAACCAAGTCGGGTATTCGGATACCAACAGGAAGCCTGCATCAATTTACTTGGTGACCTCTTCCTTAATTTTGATGGCCCAGTCCGGACGAATCCTTCTGAGTTTCTGTTTGACAGGGCA